ATTTGATTTCCGTGCTTTGGACGTGCTATATTTCGTGCAGTCATGTGCAATCGCGTGTAAAAATTTCTTATAGGGTCACTAACACTATCGCTACGTAGTTTCAGTGATCCATGGTTTCGACACTAAAGACTATTACAGGACCTGGGTACGATTATACTAATTCGGTTACGATCTTCGATTACAAAAGGGTAAGTATTTACATATTTGGAAAATTTACAAATAAAGGGCTTGTACCGATTCTAAGTTCACAATTCTTAACGTCACACCTTCCTCACGTTACCACCGTAACACTAGTATGTACTATTAAATCATGACGATGCCTCGCTGCCCAAAAGCAATATAATTAGTTTGTTTATGCGCGTATATAAACATAAATATTGCCAAGATAGTTATAACTTAAAGGGTTTTGGTCCTTGAAAATCCGAATTAAATACACATAAACTTTATTTTTGTTCACAAATTTCACTCCTGATTTTACTCGATGACGCCGCGCCTCGAGTGATAACTGAATGTTGACTGTTTGGCATTAACAGATCGCATTAGTTGCCCTAAACTGTAACTTAATTTTTACCCTAACTCTAACTCTAATTTATGCCGATTGACACTTGAGGCAAGAATCGATCTGAGGCACAACATATACATGTGAGATATCATTGAAGGCATATCATATGATTTATAATTAACTTCCTCAATGAAATTTTCCTCCAATAACGCTACATATCGCTAGAAAGTTAACTCGTCAGATCAGATTTACTACATTAACAAAGGATGGAAGTAATACTAATTAATAATGACTAAATTTGGTACCAAAGCGGGGTAAATTTCTAATGTTACAGTAGATCAATGTATTGATAGACGTTCCCTAAATTTGGGAATTAATACATAGTATCAATAACCATAACGGGTAACCTATAAACCTTACAAACATTTCTTAAAAATCTAATATTTTCTTGTAATCCGGCAGGTATGGCGTATGTACTAACGGAAAAAATTCAAATTAATGCTCAGGCAGTAAATCGAATTGCAATATGACCTTTTCCGTCAGTATTTGTGTTGTACCTGCTCGAGAATAATTTACATTGTTCACTATGCCTGCAAAAACTTTATAGTAACACCAGGAAAATTTGATATATAACTAGTTAAATTACACGTAGTAATAAAGCTAAAGAACTTTAATTACGTATATAAATGCATACTATTTTAAATATACTTCTACTTTTGACTTCATGCACAGACGTTTGATAAATATATTAAATATAATTATTTTTAGTAATCTGATTAGCTGGAATAAGTGATCAAATATTTCACGTGCAGGTTGAACACTTTAAACAGAATATCTCTATTAATAACAATCTCATTATTCTCATAAAAAAAATTTGGTTGACCACATAAGATTAATAAGATTATAATAATAAAAAGAAGAAAGGAATGCATTTAACTATTGTTAAAACCTAGTTAAACAAATTATGTGAAATTCTACCTTTTTTTTTTATTGAACTTGTGATAAGAATTATTACGACTTCTGCCGTATAAATCTACTGAATGATTCTTAGAAGAGAGGCTTAGCAAAATAGAGACACGATTCTGGCAAAAAAACTCTACTTTCGCCTCCTGAGGTTACTGTATAAATGATTAATTTGTTATATTATTAGTGTTAATGTTCCGATCACTATCACAACTTACAACTATTTGTAACGTAATCGTAGCTCATAATTCATCATAAAAGAGGCGCTATCCTCTTTGAGATGAATTTCTAGAATTCTATATGAATGAAACAATTACAACCTCTCTAAATATAGTAATACTCAAGGCCAAGGCACAGTGATAACGCTTTAGTAGTAGCAAATAATACGTAGAAGATAATACGTAACGGATAATACGTAGCAGAAGCTTTTATTTTTGATAGGTCAAAAGTGCATGGCATGATATCAACAATTGCAATTTTAAATTTATTTGCAATTCGAAATTTATTTGCAATTTGAAATTTATTTGCAATTTGAAATTTGTTACGTTACTATAACCATGAAAGTATATTCAAATGCTTTCTACTGACACAATTGTGTTTGTTGCAATTATTTTCGTGATGATTTGTTGTGCATCAAGGTTTCAGCATAGACATTTTAAGCATAAGGTACCCAATTTCAGGTTATGCTAACAATAATAATGACGCACTAACTAATAAGGGTGGCTGTAGCTATTTGATGGTTGTTTTTGGATGATCTTCCCTAAATGATTGGTATATTTCAAGTTAGTATTCATGATATTCTGTAACAAACATTATAACATCAATTATTATGAAGAGTTTGTAACACAAGCATGCATATCAGCATTTCCATTTTTGGACTCTTCTTCCTGATAATCCAAATGTTCCAACAATTATATAAAGACTTAAGTTCTGGTCGGCAACGAGTTTTTTTTCTTAGTAATGACTTTAATGAATCAGAACGAACAATAAAGATTTGTAACGAACCGTAACGATCGATAACCGTAACCATCGATAACCGTAACCATCAATAATCGTAACTAATTGTAACGAACAATAATTACGAACCGTAACGAATCATAACGAGCCATAACGAATCATAAATCATAACGAACCACAACGAATAACAACGAAGTTTAAGATCCACTCGCTGAAAAAATGTCAGATCACATTTTCCCTTTAATCAATTTACAAGTTGTTTCAATGAAAAAGATTGCCACAGTCCCTTATATTCCTCCCGAAATTATCCGTATGATATTTGGTTTACTAAGGGATGATAAGAAAACTCTCGCCACTTGTGCTTTGGTTAGCCATACGTTTAATCTTCACGCTACACCTTTCTTATATCATACCGTTGCATTTGTTTTCCCTCACACATTTACGCTTTTCGCTAATGTCGTAAACGATATTAAAAAACGTTCCCACATGGTTCGCCACTTGGATCTTTCCGGCTTCTCCACCTGTGGCCTCCAAAAAAGTTATTCTGATTTTCATAATGTTGTTACTCCAGAATTGTTAATTTATATTCTAAGGTCTTGCCCCGAATTAAAAACTTTTTCTGTATCAGAATCCTTAGAATTCGTAATTACCTTTGATGTTTTAAAAGTACTATTTTTGGAATGTAAAAATGTAATTACTATCGATCTTTGTGGATTCTCTACTAAACAATTTGGCAACACTTTAGAACAATTCTGCCGTCTAATTGGTCGCGTTAGAATCGATGATTGCGGTAATGATCTGACAACTGCTTTTAATGTGAACGACGAACCTGCATTATCTCATTTACAAAGACTTTCACTTCATGAATGTGCCGTGATTTCGGAATGCTCAACTATAATCCTTCTTGCTAACGCTCCTAACCTTACACATCTCGACCTAGGTGGTTGTTCTATTAGTGATTTGACAATAAACTTCCTGGCTGAAACAAATGCACCAACCAATTTTCGCCATTTATTATTGGCGAAATGTAAAAACATTTCTTCGTGTGCTATTTCTTCTTTGATTCTTAAATGTTCTCAGTTAGAATCACTTAATCTTTATGGTGTAAGGGATACTACTACTATCATTAATGAGTATGACCTGATAAACATACTTAGTTCACCTAGCGCAAAGAATCTTCAAATTTTAGACATCGGGTCATCACAAATAACACCATTGGTTTTAACATTAATTAAAGAAAATTGTTCCTCATCATTAAAAAACCTTGGTATTTCGAAAGCTCAAATTACCAACATTAGTGTTATTAAAGACCTTTTAACATCCTTACCAAATCTACAGTATATCGATCTTACTTCAGTCCTATGTTTTAATGTTTTAAACACTAATACTCTATTAAACAGTATTGTAAAGAATAATCATCCGATTCATACGATCGAAATGAATGATTCATTACTTAAAAAACTTTATGCAACTAAAGGATGGAAGATTGATGTAAATTATGGTAGAAGATGGTATTATTCTCGTGAATCTCGATTAGATTCAATAAGAGCTGATAGGGTACATGGTAGAAAGTTAGATTTAACCGAATATGGTCCAGAATATATGAGCAATATTTTTCAATATTATAGTTTTGACGCGTGATACTGTGTTAAAACTAGTTAATTTTCTTTTTTAGTACATTTAATATTTTTTTCTGCTTTATCTTTTTTGCATATATTTATTTATATAGTTATTTATTATATTATTTATCCCATTAATTTATACGTTTCTATTTATATATATGGTAACTACTTTTATTATCTCTGTTATTATTTCTATTATTATTCTTTATTTCTATTATTATCTCTGTTATTATTTCTACTATTATTCTTTATTTCTATTATTATTCTTTATTTCTATTATTATTATTTCTATTATTATTTCTATTATTATTATTTCTATTTATTATGAAATTATGAAAAAATTATCACTAATGTATTATAAGTGTATTATATGTATTGTATTGTATCCGGAAAAAAATAAGTATTTTCAAAAATAAGCACAGAAAAGCTATATATATATATTTTTAATAAAAAATATATAAAAATAAAAATATTTTATCATTTATTAAATCATGTATCATGAAAATTATAAAATTCAAGTGTTAAAGCTCATATGATTTTTTTTTATGTATAACTGAATTGGTTGTGATTCTGTAGCTCGAGTTTCTTTCGGTTACTCATTTCAATTGAAAATGAAGCAACAATCCTATCAAATTGTAGTTTCATGAAAATTTTGTTCCAGGAGAAGGGTATGCTCAGTCAACCCCACTATAAAATTATTGTTATATTTGTAAATTTTACTTACCAATCGGCTTTGAGATTATATGTAACGCTGGGAACTCGAAAAGGATTTGCTGAGTTATCCACATTATTCTTTGGAGGACAATGATATTTCAGTTTATAATTGAACAAGTTTGATAATTCTGAATATTATTTATGGTAATGAAAAATAAACCTTTGAAGATATATTAACAAATTTATAATATATTTAATAATGATAGCAGCGCGACGTGCGATGACGCACAGGACCAGTACGATCGTGAGTACCTCTTAGATTCTGGACACTTATCATTCACGTGAATTTACATTTACCAAATATTCAGACGTATATTTATATGTTCGAATAATTTGGTAAGTGCAAATTCACATGAGCGGTAAGTGTCCGAAAATTCTCCAGAGAGTAAATTATTCAGAAATCACAAACTAGCAGATCGTCTTTTTATTAAAATCTAATTGCTACATTATTAGACCAAAAATGTCATAATTCAACTGTCATATTGCGAATACTAGCGTGATGGGTGGTGTATTCGCCACAATCACAATCAACTGAGGCATAGTAAAATACTTCTAATAGTAAAGAGCACCAAATGACTTTTCGAGAATAAGCACAGGCAAAATCTTTAAAATAATCGATCAGAACTCAATTTTTAAAAGTATTTTTAATGCAATAGAATTGCTTATCTTTACAATAACAATCGATTGTGGGGTCTAGAATGTTACAAATCACAATAATTGATTATATTAATTATACATTCTTTTGAAAAAAAGTAAAATGAACAGAATTAAAATTCATACTTACACTGGTTATTTATTAAACAATTAAATGATTATGGTTAATCATTGTTCTGAAACACATTTGTTAAAGCAAACAGAATTAAATTTCATACTCACAGAGTTAAACTTCATACTCACCCTAGTAATTATTGAATCATTAGGTTATTATGATTAATTATGCATTCTCTTAAAAAAATCACATAATTAAATTTCTTGAACAATTATAATATAATATATATTAAGTAAATTGCTTATCTTAATCATATTAATAAATTATTGTAATGAGAATGGAATAAGAATTTATTTAATAAATGTCATCAAAAACTAACTAATTATGAATTATGATGCAAATGATCAAAATGTTACAATAATTACATATTTTAATAGTGATTAAAAATTTACCATACTCATTATAATTTTTGGGTATTACCAATCAAAAATGTTTAAATAGACAAATACTGAAGAGTTGACTCATAATTTTCTTATAATTATTTATTTAATTATATATGTATTATAAAATAATTAAACATATGATATTTCTATAATATCTACTAAAATAAAAAAAATAACAAGTATAATATCTTCTAAAATAAAAAAAATATAGTGTACCAAAAAGTTAAACAAAATCAACCTTTCATATTATATATAATTATACTGGTATAATTTTTTTTATTTTTATTCTTAGTAATAATAGAATTCAAATATTAATTTTGTTAAAAATATATTATATATTAAGGTATTTCATATGCCAATTAATCAAAATCATGTGAAGTGTATAAATAATATTAGTAAAACCTATTAAAACTTAGATATATTATAATAAAGTTAACTTATAATTATAATTTATATAAATTAAATATTTAAAAATTGATTTAATTTAAATTAAAGTTTGTTTTAAGATATATAGGTTCAGTTGTACTATTTTTAATTATGTTTTGTACCAAATATAATTTATCTAGTCTATCTAATTTATTAAAATCATATTTAATATAAACTATAATTAAAATTTTATATTAGTTTTTTTTAGCAGTACTTATGTAGTTACTTAATTATTATTATTATTATTATTTTTTCTTCACTTGAGCAGTCTTATTAGTCACTTTTATTATATATTTTTGCATTACGTACATATAAATTATTGCATAAATTCTGATTCAACATTATGCAGATACTTCTATGAGTTCATATGAGTAATCTGCCTGCACTGACTGTCTAAATTTAAAAGAAATTAGAGTACATTAGAGGCTGCATCTGACCATTGCTTTATAATAGAATGTTGCCAATCTGATAACATCTTCTTATAGAGAAATGAACAAAAACAAAAAATCTTATATAGAAAAAAAATACAAAGGTATAAAAGTAGATAATAAAAAATACAAATGCAAAAAATAAAAGAAGGATAAAATGAAACAAGAAAAAAGAAAAGATATATGCAACTCTCACCACATAATTATAAGATAGTTATAATTATAAGCTTGTGTTTTGCTTTTAAAAATTATAAATTATACTAAATAAAATTAATTCTACTATTTTTTTATTTATTTAGAATATATAACAAAAACCATATAGAATAAAACTTTAATTTAGATGTAGAGAGTTAGCATAGGGCACTAGTTAGTCTAGAAGCAGTATTTTACAGAGTTTCAGTAGTTCAAGACATGTGTATGAGTCATATTTTTGTTACTGTATTGTTTCAAATCTATGTAGTAATAATTTTATTTAGAAAGTAAATATTGATAATTGTTTTGGTAATTTTATATATCGATCTTTTGAAGAAGGTAAACTAAATCATAACTTTTACAAAATTTTTCTTGAAGAAAAGTGAGTGACAACAATTTTTATTTATAGTTCTTTAAGTAAGTTTTACAGTTATATAGTAGTGCTCCAAGTTTCTAATAGTTCTAGCTTGGGTTTTTTTATAATTGTTTTTAGAATACCTTTCTAGTTTAGATGCCAAACAGAAAAAAGAGTATATCAAAAAGAAAAACTTGATCTTTTTTTAAACAATTACAAGAACACCTGCTTCTTAGTATTTCATGTTTATTTTGGCTTTGTCGACAACAAACTACTTTATGTAGGACCAAAAGTATTTCCTTTCTTGATCTTGTTATAATATTTTTCTGTAGTTTAATTTGTTGTTATTGTTGGTCAAAAGATTGTCAGAAAGAGTTTTTGATTATTTTCAATTACTTAATTATTTATATATATCAAATTGAATAACAATATATTAAATATCTAAAAAATAAAAAATAATAATAATAAAATTATAAAAAATTGAAGTGTTTTTTGTTTTATAAGTATTGATAAGTTTATAATTTTGTATATTATTTACTAGATATAAAAAAATTATAATATTAATCAATATAATTTTAAATATAATTAACATTATAATATTTAATTTTTTTGATATAAAATTAGTTGTTATATTTAATTTTGTAAATATTTTAGTTTAAATAAAAACAAAATGAAAAATTTTTAAATTGATTTTTTTAGTAATTAGAGATATTGAAATAGTTAAAATTAATAGTTTTGGTTATTTGTATAATATGTTTTTATTATTAAACAAAGCAATTTTTTTAAATAAAGAAATTATATAATATTGAAAATAAAAAACAAATATATTTTGGTATTATAGTATAAAGCTAAATTTTTAAAGTATAAAATTTACTAATAATTAATGAAACTACTATAATATTAATTTAATACAGTTTATTTTAATGTTTTAAATTTGTTAATAATTATAATTGTAAAAAAATACTAATAATTTTATGCAATTGTTTGTATATGAATTATAGTTATAAAATGGCTTTTTAGATTATGCATAATATTAAGTAATTTTTATATAGTTAATATAGTAATATGTAATAACAAATATAATATATATTAAATATTTGTTAATATACAAATAAATAATTTATATGCATTGTAAACAGATAAATAAATAAGAAAAATAGTTATAGACAATAAAATTATATTAAAATTTTAAGATTTAAGATCTTATATTAAAAATAAATAATAGATAAAATAGATAGATTATTATTTTGTATTATATTATGTTATAAAGAAATGATTGTAATAATTAAATATATCTAGCAGAAAAAGAATAAAAATAGTAGTTTGGTTTCTGTTTGGGTTATTAATATGTATTTTATAAAATGTAAGAACTATAAAATTAAAATAATATTGTTTATATTGTTTAATCTTAAAAAAAAATATCTTGGCATATATATTGTTTTTAAAAGAATGCATTTAATTCAATTAAAAATAAAATCAAACTTGAAAGATAAAATAATATTACAAGATTAAAGTTTTTTTAGTTAATTTTTATTAAAATTTTTTATTAAATTCAATTATTTAATTTGTTTAATAAATTGTTTAGATGATATTTTTTTTATTTACTTATCTGAAAATTTTTAACAAAGTGTCTAAATTAAATATGTTTATTAAAGATTTTATTATTAAAGTTATTAAGAAAGTACTAAAAAAATAATAATGATAAAAATACTGTTTTTGATATATCTATAAATGATTATACTAATCAAAATT